ACTGGAGAAATTGATAGGATTAAAAACTAATAAATCCCCTGCACCTAATGGCCTGCATCTAGGAGTTTTAAAAGAGGTGGCTGCAGAAATAGTGGATGCTTTGTTTTTGATCTTCAAAATTTTTCCTGGATTCTGGAATGATTCCCAGTGATTGGAAGGTCGCAAACCTAACGCCAATATTTAAGAAGGGTGGGAGACAAAAAATGGGGAACAACAGATCAGTTAGTCTGACATCGGTGGTAGGGAAAATTCTAGAGTCCTTAATTAGGGACGTCGTTGTGGGGTACTTCGAAAATTAGAACATGATTATACAGAGTCAACATGGCTTTACGAAAGATTAATCATGCTTAACAAATCTTATAGTTTTTTGAGGATGTAACTAGCAGGTTAGATAGGGGGGAACCGGTAGATGTGGTGTATTTGGATTTCCAGAAGCCATTCGACAAGGTGCCACATAAAAGGCTGTTGCATAAGATTAGAGCCTATGGAATTAAAGGTAATATATTAGTATGGATTGGAGAGTGGCTAACAGGAAGAAAACAGAGAGTAGGGATAAACAGGTCCTTCTCAGATTGGCAGGATATGACTAGTGGAGTACTACAAGGATCGGTGCTTGGGCCTCAATTCTTTACAGTCTATATCAATGATTTAGATGAGGAAATAGAACTTAACATATCAAAATTCGCAGATGATACGAAGATAGGTGGGAGAGTAAGCTGTGAGGATGACACACAATGAATGCAAAGGGAAATAGACAGGTTAGGTGAGTGGGCTAGAAGGTGGCAGATGGAGTATAACGTGGGGAAGTGTGAAGTTATTCACCTAGGTAGTAAAAATAGAAAACCGGATTATTTTCTGGAGGGGGAGAGACTGGGTAGTGTTAGTTTTCAGAGGGATTTGGGTGTCCTTGTACACCAGTCACAAAAAGTTAGTTTGTAGGTACAGCAAACAACTAGGAAGGCTAATGCCATGTTGGCATTCGTTGCAAAAGGGTTAAGAGTACAAGAGTAGGGCAGTCTTGCTGCAGTTGTATAAGGCCTTGGTGAGACCTCACCTAGAATATTGTGTGCATTTTTGGTCTCCTTATTTAAGAAAGGACATACTCGGCTTAGAGGGGGTGCAGCGTAGATTAACGAGGTTGGTTCCTGGGATGAGGGGGTTGACCTATGAGGAGAGGTTGAGTAAACTAGGCCTATATTCTCTAGAATACAGAAGAATTAGGGGTGATCTTATAGAAACCTATAAGATTCTTAAGGGTCTTGACAGGGTAGATACCGTGAGACTGGGTAGTGTTAGTTTTCCTCTGGTTGGAGAATCTAAAACTAGGGGTCATTACCTCAAGATTAAGGGTCAACCTTTTCGAACTGAGTTGAGGAAACATTTCTTCACTCAGAGGGTAGTGAATTTGTGGAATTCTCTACCCCAGAAGGCTGTGGATGCTCAGTCCTTGAACATATTCAAGACTGAGGTGGATAGATTTCTAAAGGATAGAGGGATTAAGGGATATGGGGTTAGGGCTGGTAAATTGAATTAGGTTAGATCAACCATGATCTTATTAAATAGCGGGGCAGGCTCAAGGGGCCGAATTGTCTGCTCCTGCTCGTCCGTCTTATGGTTTTATGGTCTTATGGAAGTGGTACAGATCTGATGGGGGTGTGGGGGGAAGGGGGTTGTTGAAAGGCTTCATTTAATACCACAGAATGGGAAACATTAGATAAAAGGAATTTTGCATCTTAAATAAGAGTATAATAAAGGTTTAAAAGTGCCATGATTATCATAGCTGATAGTGTGCACCAGTCAATTCCAGGCTGGTTCAAAAAGTGTTGAACATTCTCCTAAAAGGGGTTGAATTTCAACTTGAAAGGGCAGCAGCGAGTCAGTTACTGAGTATCGCTTCATAAATTCCTTCCCTCTAAATCATATGTTGTAACTGCAGGGTTGGGGGTGATTTGTTGACTTAGAGAAATTCCTACAAGGGCTGTATGCTGAATAATGTTCGCCAAGCTTGGTCAACAGTCATATGCTGGTCATCCAGTTTGGTCTTCATTATCACCACTGATGCTGTATTTGTTTCAATAGCGAAGAACTTCAAAGTAAACCAGATGCGGTTTTCAAAACTTAACCACAATACAAAAATGTTGATTCTTTTATTTTGAGTAAGTAATTCAGGAAGTCAGTTGGTCTCTCTCTTCACCTCCTGGTCTTTTCCACCATTTTCCTATTGTCTTGCCTTTTGGGTCATGAGTCTTGTAAATGCAAGATGAGGATAATGTTTCCACTCGGCTTTTTGGTTTGCTTTGTAACTCTCCAGAAAATGCCTACAGTATTTCTGCCCGTCTCTTGTAATCATGCAGGTGCCTGTTCTTCATGTGTGAGTGAGCCTGACCAGTGAGTATCAGCAACCTGCTCAACCATTTGCCAGCGGGAAGGAGGGTGGAGGAGAAATCACAAACTCAGTCCAATGCTAACAGTACTATTGAAAGCATTGACCTGTCTGCAGCATAGTGATGCCTATTACTGCTCTAGCCAAGGTCAGCAAATTCATGTGACATTGTAATGAAACATATTTCTTGTTCCTCTGGGCAGTAGCTTTACCAAGTGGGCCATTGGGAAAGTCCATTGTATTTAATGGAGACCAGCTGTAAGGAACACTTCACCACTTTGATAACCCAACCTTTTTACAGTATATTCTGTGAAGCGCTTTGAGACGTCCAGAAGATGTGATAAGGCGCTATATCAAATGCAAGGATTATTATTATTATGCCCAGGAATGGCAATTGTTAGAAGAGTCCTGTAGCTCAGTGGTTAGAGCACTCGCTTTGCAAGCGAGAGACCTGAGTTCAATTCCAGGCAGGGCGAAACCTTGGGCAAGTTTCCTTACTCCACACGCCTAATAATAATCCCTCCAAAAAACCCAAAACAATAATAAATTGGTCATTTTCAATCTACGACTGTTTGTGGGACATTGCTGTGCGCAATTGGCTGCCGCGTTCGCCCACAAATATACAGTCAATTCACTTTACAGTATATTCTGTGAAGCGCTTTGGGACGTCCTCCCGACGTGAAAAGCGCTATATCAAATGCAAGGATTATTATTATTATTATTATTATAAGAGCTTCCCCCAAAACACAGATTTGGTTCTTGAGTGCCGGATAAATTTGGGCTTTTATGCAGAGTGGGAGGGAGAGGGACGTTTGGAGGTAAGAGGTGGAAGCCAACACTGAACTGATGGCATGAGTGCAAAATAGACAGCGGTGGGAGGAAACGCAGTGCCTGATTGACAGTAACTGCTTTTCAACCTCGTTTTCAGCGTCCATAAACACACCACACTATGCAGGAGTTTATGTCCTGATTTGGTTGAAAGCAGCTTCTTTTATTGTTTCCCATCCAGTTTTCTCTTTGAGGCCGTTGAGTTCAACTGGGTTGGTAACTGGTGAACTTTGTCACAGTACCTCTCCAGGGAAAAAATCAACAACACGTGCCTTGTTATGTTTTTCCTTCCCGACCATTTCTTTTTACTTGTTGAGCAAAACTTTGAATGTCAAAATGAAAATGATCGTGCTGATCAAAAAAGATTATCACTGAAGAGAGCATTAAAGTTGCTCCTTTCAGAACAAGAAAGTAACGAGAAACTGTTTCCATTGGCGGGTGGGTTGGTAACCAAAGGACACAAATTTAAGATAATTGGCAAAAAAACTAGAGGGGAGATGAGGAGAAATCTTTTTACACACAGCGAGTTGTTATGATCTGGAATGCACTGCCTGAAAGGGTGGTGCAAACAGATTCAATAAGTTTCAAAAAGGGAATTGGATATTTAATTGAAAAGAAAACATTTGCCAGGCTATGGGGAAAGAGATAGGTCTTTCAAAGAGCCGGCACAGGCACGATGGGCTGAATGGCCTCCTTCTGTGCTGTAGAATCCTACGAAGACTATGCTTCAGAGATTGAAATCACGATGAGACAAGTGTGCGATGAATAGTCGGAGAAACATGCTGATTCATCCAGGAACGTTGTGGCGCTGAGCTGAGGCTTGACTTGTGCATCAAAAGGAGAGAGCTGCAAACTACAATCTTCAGCTCTAAGGCTTGTTGGTAAATTGTAGAGTATACAGTAATAAAAATACTTTTTAAACCTCCTTCATTTATTATTTATATATAATATATAGTAGCAACTGATTGGTTGGTTTGGACCTGTAAAATGACTTGTGGGCATGTGCTGCCAGTTTAAGACCTTCTTTTCACAGAAGAGACTTTGCTATTTTGCCCCATGTATCTTTTGAACTGTGTTGCCAGTAGTGCAGAATCTACATTGAGTGAGCGGACAGGTTGTCAACTACAACTTACATTTATGTAGCGCCTTTCACACGGGGCAGCGTCTCGGAGTGGCACTTGATAGTGGTAGAGCCTGACACTGAGCGTGGGGGATAAGGGAAGAGGTAACCGTAACCACGGTTGAAGAGGACGGTTTCTCTTCAGTTGTGATCTGAAAGAGGGGAAGGAGAAAGCAAGGCGGAGGATTGAGGGAGAGAGCTCCAAAGCTTCGTGGAGTAGTGGCTGAAAGCGCGATCGTCGATGGTGGAGCGGAGGGACAAGTAGGAAGCCAGAGCCAGCCGAGCGGAGGTAGTGGAGTGGGGGAAAGCAAGTCAGAGAGGTAGGATGGTGCCCTTGTGTGAAGGGATACAAGTCAACATGGATATGTATCTCTTTGGTAGGACTCTCAGGAGGAGAGGAGGGCAGTAGGACCACGGATCTTCAACCTGAACCATAATCCGAAGTGAACTATTTTGTTTTAGATGCTCAGGAAAAATGAAGTTTTTAAAGAGAGAAACGCTTTCCTTTTGTTGACATTGAGCATTGTAATTCAGTAAAGGCTTTATGCACTTAACATTGTCCCCATATTGTTTTTACTTAGGTGTAAAAGTCCTAATGCCCCAAAATGGTAAGATTTAAAAAAAAAGTAAGGGTTAACCATTCTAATTCCCTAATCTTTCTCTGTGCAGCTGTGAACACCAGTAAGTATGCAGAGAGCTACCGTATCCAGACGTATGCAGAATACGTGGAGAAAAAGCAGGAAGAGAAACAAATCAAGCGCAAGTGGACTGAAGAAAGCTGGAAAGAAGTGGAGAGGAAGAGGCTGAAAACTCAGTACACCCCACAACCTTATCTTAGCCAGATGTTTGATTTCAGCAAGTAAGTATTTGGGCAGCAGACTGCACCCATAATCCATGCTGCTTGGGTTGTCCTGACATGAAAGGTGCTGTATAAATGTCATTTTGTTGTTGTTGATGATACTTCATGGTGTGTGTGTTTGTGGAAATTTATTGGGTACAGATTATTTGTAATTGCCTACAGCAGTCACTATGTTTTACACAGAATTCCCTGTGAAGTGCTTTGACATGTTTGACACTAGACATCACATCAAATTACAAAGGTTATGAAAATGGCACATGAGGTAGCTGGATACTGCCTCTAATTTCTTTTAAAAAATTGTCTCTCAATCCGTGACTGTTTGTGGGACACTGCTGTGCGCAATTGGCTGCCGCGTTTTGCCCACAAAATAAACAAGTCAATTCATATTACAGTATATTCTGTGAAGCGCTTTGAGACGGCTTGAAGATGAGAAGTCTCAATGACATGATAAGACACTATATCAAATGCAAGGATATTATTATAACTCAGTTGATTTAAACAGAAAAAGTCTGAACTTTTTTTAACACGTCAGAAAAATATAGCAGCAGTCAATAGCTCTTGTGCGATTTCTAGCTGAAACATTTGAACAAATGTATTCACAAGAATCAAAATTATGCACCAATGGTATCTGCCTTGTCAGCAATATCTATCGACAGTTACCTTTGTTGCAGACTATTGCCAGCACAATGCTCATCATATGATCTTCCGGCATTAAGGAACCACTAAGCTACAATTACACCAGTCATGCCCTAAATTTATGGGATGTGTTTGCTGCTAGCTTTGTGTAATTAGCTGCTGAAAGGTATATTGTCTCATCTGTGCTTAAGCCTTTTATACGCATAGTGTAACATTAACTGTCAGTAGCAAAACTTTTTTAAGCTCCGTAACATTTCTTAATTGAATACCCTAAAGCAGATTTAGCTCTGAAGTGGTTCACTGAATTGAACTGAAACTGTATATCTGGGCTCACTTATTATACAGGGGTCCTGCAACTTCTTTCAATACATTTTAGCAACTTCATTTGGTGCCGTCCTTCAATATGCCATCAGCAAAACCTTGCTTGGAACTGAGATTCCCGAGTGGGACGAAACGTTAGGCAAGTTTCTTCACTCCACTCGCCTCTGGTTATCCCAGGGGTTAGTAATCCCTTATGATACCACCCATCCATCAGGTGAAGGGTCACACTTGTGATTGTCGGATGCCAAATAACCAACTTGTGGCTATCCTTTTGGGTGGTCGGGGGGGTTAAGCAGGGCCTCCTTGGAACTGAACTGGCTCCAGGGTAACATGTCTGAATCAAGCCAGCCCTCTGCAGTGGTCTTTGTACTCCAGTTTCTGAACTAGGCAGGTGTGCAGTTTTCTAAGGCAGCCTGGCTCATCGGAAGACTTGGAAAGGCAGACCGGTCACTGGGGGCAGGGAATCCTCCCACTCAGCTTCTTTTAACCCTGCAAGCTACAGCCCTAACGGGTAGGGTGGTCCTAGCTGAACAAGCAGCAGGAAAGCTTGCCAGACAGTGCTCTCAATGGGAAGCTATGTGGTTTTAGCTGGCTAGATCTCAGCAGTACTCCAAAACACACTCTGGGGTTTACGCCTAGTATTTTCCGGAATTAGATAAGCAGTATTCTCCTCCTTGCTCTCTTCAACCAGAGAGTGCACAATCCATTCCAATAAATATCTCAGGGAATTTCCATGTATAAATGGAATATATAGAACTCAGTTTAGTTTGGATACTCGTAAGCTCAGTGTCAGACATCCGGCTGACCAAACAAATAATTCATTTTGTGTAATTTTTTTTCAAATCTGATTTACTTCAGAACAAATCCTACTGGGGGCAAAAGAAGCATGAGCCCTATCCAGGAGGAGAACATATCTGATGAGACCGGGGAGGGCGAGGTTACAAGTAAAGACAGTGAGAGTGACAATTCGGGTAGTGCATGGACCGACGCGTCACTGGCAGATACCAGGAAAATGAAGCAAAGGCAGAAGAAGGCAAAGAAATCACAGGACAAGACAGGTAAATGCAAACCTGGTCGCGCACCATGCTATAAAAGCTTTCTATTTTCATTGCTGCTTAGACGATGATAATTTGGTCACTTAATCTACGGCTGTTTGCGGGACACTGCTTTGCACGCTTTACAATTACAATATATACAATTCACTTACAATATAGGAAGGATGTTAAGGCATTGGAAAGGGTGCAGAGGAGATTTACAAGAATGGTACCAGGAATGAGGGACTTTGATGATGAGGAAAGGTGAGAGAGGCCGGGATTATTCTCATTGGAGCAGAGAAGGTTACGAGGAGACCTAATAGAGGTCTTCAAAATCATGAGGGGATTTGATAGGTTAGAAAGGGAAAAACTGTTTCCACTGGTGGGTGTGTCGGTAACTCGAGGTCGTAGATTCAAAATAGTATCTAAAAGAAGCCGAGGGGAGGTGAGAAGGAATTTTTTCACGCAGCGAGTTGTTCGAATCTGGAACGCATTGCCTGAAAGGGCGGTTGAGGCTGATTCAATAACTACTTTTAAAAACGCGGTGGACGGGTATTTGAGGAGGACGGGTTTGCAGAGTTATGGGGAAAGGGCTGGGGAGTGGGATTGGCATTACATTGCTCTTCTTAAAGAGACGGTACAGACATGATGGGCCGAATGGCCTCTTTTTGTGCTGTGCGATTCTATGATTCTATGAATATATTCTGTGAAGCGCTGTGAGACGTCTCGAAGATGTGATAAGGCACTATATCAAATGCGCTACATCGCTAAGGCGCTATATCAAATTCCTTAAAAATAATAAATTTGTCACTTCAATCCATGACTGTTTGTGAAAAACTGCTGTGCGCAAATTGGCTGCAGTGTTTCGCCCACAAAATATAGTCAATTCACTTTACAGTATATTCTGTGAAGCGCTTTGAGACCTCTCAAAGATGTGATAAGGCACTGTGTCAAATGCAAGGATTATTATAATTAGAATGGCTTGTGAATGCGTTTTACACTTGGCAAGTGCCAATTTCACTGGACCATGCCAGCAGTCAAGCAAATCATTTAGAACAATGCCCTTTTTCTGCCAAGGCTTAATGCTGATATTGCTCCTCATCCAAACTCAATTTGATAGATCATCAGAACACAAACGCTTAGACCTTAAAAGATCTAAAGCTATCATTTACATCTTGTGCTGTAAGCGAATCAGAAAGCAGCGGGTTTTAATGTGGAACTATACACTTACAATGCTTGTGATTTCAAAATGATCGAACACTTTGTAATCTTGTAGTAAAGAATATGACTTTAGTATGAACGCTCTTTCCTTGAAATGCACAAATTAACCATTGAATAGATAATCAAAGCAGTTTCTGGAGCAACTGTTTACATCGGTGTAACAATGTTTGGATAGTTTGCTAGCTTATGTAGTTTTGAGTGTAGTGAATTTCATAAAAGTGCATTTGGTTCTTGTGAGAAATTAGAAGAAGAATGCTGGGGATATTCTTAACTTCACTTAATGCACTAAGAAATATTTTAACAATTCTAATAAAGTCCCTCGACTGCAAACTGATAACTTGTTCGAAGTATAAAACTGCAGAGTAAAATTTTGACAAATGCTTGAACCCAGTTTTGGGTTACTTTTATCTTTTCCAATAATCTCTGGCTGTTAATTTCATGGTGGAATGAAACATTTAGTGTTCTTTGGACAAAGGATTAAACAAACGATCGACTTAAAATTCTGTGTATTTTTAAGAGGTTTGTTTTGAAAAAGTTCTTAAATGTGTCGCAAATGCTTGGGCTTCGTTGCTCTGTGGGGCTGCTGTCAATGATTCAGAATAGCGAGAGGACCTGGGCAGGGCAGATTTTTGGGCAGGACGAAACCTTAAGCAGATTTCCTTACTCCACACACCTCTGTTTACCGAACAGTAAGTAGGAATCCGGTTGTTAGTCGAATGGCGGATCACTTTTCTGGGGGTGACAATCTCTTCAAAAACAATAATAATTTGGTCACTGAATCCACGACGGGACGCTGCTGTGCACAATTGCCTGCCGTGTTTCGCCAACAAAATATACAGTCATCTTATTAGCATTGCTACACTTGACAGTTTATTCTGTGAAGCGCTTTGAGACATCTCAACGACGTGATAAGGCGCTATCAAATGCAAGGATTATAGACTTTAATGCAGAAGTTTGACATTTTCCAAAATGGGAACTTTGTGAGGCGGAATGCACTGTGTTTTCCAGCAAGGAATTTGGCACTTACATCGGAGGGCAGTGTGATCCTTGCCACAACCCTGCAGTGAATGCTCTTAATTAGGTACCAGGAGTGGAGCCAAGTGGCTTGTTTTTGCTTCTAGCTTGCTCAATTTTGCAAATGATGGGATTTCATGGGATGCAGTTAATTTCCAATCAAGCCATGTGAGAAGAGAAGCATCCTCAGAGGAAGAAAGGTAGGATAGGCTCGGCCTGTGGTGCACACAAAGTCCTGTTTACCCCCTTTTACAAAACAGCAATAGGAGACTAATGAGGAGCTGAATCAAGATGTCAGAGATGCATTTCACCTCGCTCCATCCATGTTACGGAAGATGTTGCACCAAAAATGGTGATCATAATCTGCTGTGAAAATGATGGCGCTCACACACTGATCCTTTGGACGTCTGAATAGAGACAAACATTTTTACTGAATTTTGTGCTTGTACGTCCAAATACAATTATCTTTGATATGTCTCAACGACATGTTAAGGTTAGCATATCAAATGCAAGCAAATGCAAGTATTATTATGAATGAATATCACATCCTGGTGGGGCTTAGAGTATAAATGCATGATGCAGTTGGCTGCAAGTGGTGGGGTGGAGGGGGGGGAAAGGGTGGGGTTCCCAGTTTTCATCCCATCTTGTACATCGATTCTTTTTCCAGGTGCTGATGGCAGTACAGCGGTCAGCATTCCTGGGTTCAGGAAGAAATAAAGGTTTATAGTCTGATACTATCCAGCTTCCTGCTGGAAATGATAATAATAATTCTTGCACTTTGATATAGTCCTTTTCATGTCTTCTAGACGTCTCAAAGTGCTTCACAGCATATACTGTAAAGTGAATTGACTGTTTTGCCCACAGATATACAGTCAATTCACTTTACAGCATATTCTGTGAAGCGCTTTGAGACATCTAAAAGACGTGAAAAGTGCTGTATCAAATGCAAGGATTATTATTATTTGTGGGTGAAATACGGCAGCCAATTGCGCACAGCAGTGTTCTACAAACAGTTGTGGATTAAAGTGACCAATTTTATTTTTTTTTCCTTGAGGGATTATTATCAGGTGTGTGGAGTAAGAAAACTTGCCTAAGGTTTTGCCATGCTGGGAATCGAACCCCGGCCTCTCGCTTGTGAAGCGAGCGCTCTAACCACTGAGCTACAGGACTCCTAAATGTGGCTGTTGGGAATAGGCACATAATATAGCCTGGGTGCTGATACATTGTATGTGTGTGTATATATATATATATGTGTATAATATAGTGTATATTGTATAAACATTACTTATACTGTTAGATGTGAAGAACTGCTGCTTAGATCAAGACAAGCAGAAAACAGGAGCCATCTGTGCAACTCTTACCATAGAGGGTATTCACATTCTTTCTTCTAACCCCCCAAATCCTACTCCCAGCAAACAATTGAGGGAGAAAAGCAAGGATAGGGGCAGAATTGGGGAGAATTTTAAAAGAAAACGACCTATTTAAACTGCTGTCTTTCTGAACTTAAACCGATCATAATTTAAACCAAGCCACATTGTCATGGTGGTAATTAACTTCTTAAACAAGCTTTTAGGCAGGGCGAAACCTTGGGCAAGTTTCCTTACTCCACACAGAGCCTAATAATAATCCCTCCAAAACAAAAAACAATAATAAATTGGTCATTTTCAATCTACGACTGTTTGTGGGACATTGCTGTGCGCAATTGGCTGCCGCGTTCGCCCACAAATATACAGTCAATTCACTTTACAGTGTGTTCTGTGAAGCGCTTTGGGACGTCCTCCCGACGTGAAAAGCGCTATATCAAATGCAAGGATTATTATTATTATTATTATTATTATTTACCTAAGCGTCAGTAATGGCAGTGTTTTACAGCAGGTTGTTTATTTGCCGAAAATACATCGTAAAAAATCTGTTTAGTCACTAGAAGCGCACAGATGCTGATTACTTTCATTGTGGGATGTTAATGGAGTTTTTCTTGCACACGAAGGACAGCATTGCTTTCTATTTCATTCATCAATCTTACTGACATTTGCATTTGGTTAGTTTCATCAGATGTGTGACGCTTTTACATGCTGACGTATTACGTGACGATTGTTTCATCGTACAGCTGTTCACAAGCTTTATTATTGGGATTTATGTTAAAACAGGCAGTGCAGCAGAGCTATTTGAAGTCCCAGACACATGGTGACGTGACGCAGGACGAGTAAAATGAAGTTGCATCTTCTAGGTAAAGCCGTGACGAGAGACAGCAAGCACTTGCAAGCCATAGCAATCTCTGAGCTCCGCGGTACAAGACAGCTTAAAAAAAAATAAGGTCTGTGAAAGTTGAGATGTTTTTCTTTTTAATAAAACTAAAAAGAGCCAATATGTCTGTTAAGTGTCTGTTAATTTTATGTTTTTGTTTAAAACAAATGATCCATTGCACCTGTAAACTGGGGTCATTCTCGTCCTGAGCAGTGTTAAACAGTCTTGTACTGCTCTCCGCTTAGAGCAACGATGACCCCAGAGACTTGTCTTGTGCCAGTCATTCAATTCATATTCCAGAACTATATAATCACGGTTCAGCACTGTAAATTTTTTATGTATTGTATTTCCAGTGAATCTAATTACTTGATTATCGATAATGTGGTATAATTTTTTTTAGGTTCAGGTTTTTAGGGGGGTTGCTAAATGCATTGCCATAAGCCATCCTTGCAATAAGGGTTGCCAGCTGTCACACCAATACTTGTTTCCTTTGTCTTGACTGATGTGTACTGTGCTTTCAGTCTCTGGTGTCTCAACTTGTATCCTGCACTAGATCTTGTCCCCTTCTGTTTGTGTGCAAAATACTTGTCTATTTTCTCGGGGGACAAGTTTTGTATTGTATTTAAAGTTTTTGTATCATGAAGAAAAATAAAATATTTCATGAAAGAAAATTAAAGACAAGGTTCTTATTGTTACATTTGACTTCTTTATTTGTGTGACATTGTTTGTCTGCTGAGATGTGGAAGCAATTGCATTCATTTGTACGTTAGAAGGATTGTAAATTGAGCAATGATCAAGTAGTTTAATTAAAATTGACAGAAGTTATTTGTTTGAGGAACAACAACAAATTACATTTGTATAGCGCCTTTCACATCAGGAAGATGTCCCAAGGTGCTGGACAGTCAGGGATTATGACTCGAGCAGTGGGTTGGGATCAGGAGGGGTGGAGGGTGACCAAATGTACCTTTGAAGAGGAGGGTCTTGACGTGTGCCTTGAAGGAGGCAAGGCAAAGGGACTGTGGGATGGAGGTGAATTTTTTTTTGGTCCTTTTTGTTCTGAATCGTTAAAGAACTTTCTGCCACCAGTGGTGGGACAGTTGCTGAGGCATTTTCTCACCACCTTGAGTCTCCGAGAAAATTTCAGTTGCACCACAATCTGGTATTGGTCAAACGAACACAAGCTAGGATTCTTTAGCCTTGAAAACTGATGTCTCTGAGAGAAAAACAGAGGGATTAGGGGATATGGGGATAGGGCAGGTAATTAGAGTTAGGTCTGAAGATCAGCCATGATCTTATCGAATGACGGGGCACAGGCTCGAGGGGCCGAATGGCCTACTCCTGCTCCTAATTCTTATGTTCTTAAATGTATAGAGGTATGTAAGATTTTGAATGGGGTTGAGAAAGTAAATCCAGACCAATATTTCACATGCAGCAAACCAGCAGGACAAGAGGGTACCAACACCAGAAAGTATTTCTTTATACATCAGATAATTAACAACTGGAACAGATTGCCTGGAGTGATAGCTGAGGCCTTGACTTCGACCCGTGGAGTCCTTAATATAGTGGTTAGTGGCTCACTCGCAAGCAAGAGGACCCGGGTTCGATTCCCATCCAGAATTTGCAAAGCTGACAAACAGCAACTTGCATTTGTACAGCGCCCTTCACATTGGGCAACATCTCAAAGCACATTACAGGGACGGGGTGGGATGCTGATTAAGGGAGAGGTAGGGAGGTTAGGAGAGGTGGCTATTGACCTGTTTGAGGTAGACATGAAATGGGAGGGGGGGGAGGTGGTGGGGGGAATGGTAGAGCGAGTTTGGACCAAATGACCTTTTATCAGTCTGCTCTTTGTTAACCTGGTGAGATTTTCAGTGGAATTAGATCTGCAATATTTCTCTTGGTACAAAGTGGAGGATCAGATTAATACAGAAACAGCTAGAAATTGGCTTCATTTGTGATTACAAATTGCATTGAGTGTTACTGTTGCTCACTATTTTGTCATCGAGTACATCTGAGTACAAGCCAATTCTTAGCAGCGAATTCACCTTTCAACTTATGACCTCGCAAAATGTTCTTTTTTGAGAATGTGTAATTAATACCTGTGGCTTCAGTTCCTGAGCAACCCCCACCCTATCCAACTACCAAACCTTCTACAATGATTTCTCAGTTATAAATGGGCAGCTTAGTGAACACAAAAATATTCCTGTCTTTTTACTTTCTCCCCCCCACCCTGCAGTCTGTATGCTGCCTCTTGTTTAGCCAACTCTGGCTAAGACAGCAGAACTCAGCTTGATTCGGTTGGTAGCACTCTGTCTTCTTGGATCAGAATGTTGTGGGTTGAAGCCCTGCTCTTGGACTTGTTCACAGGCGAGGCTGATGCTCCAGTGTAGGGTTTGAGGTGCCATCTTTCAGATCAGATGTTAAACCCAGAGCCCACCTGCTGTTCAGGTAGATATTAAAGACCCCACGGTACAAATCAAAAACAAAAGGGAGTTTCTCATGATGTCCAAGCAGCCAGCAATCCTACAGATCCAATTGGTCATTCTCTTGCTTGTGGGGTGTTGCTATCTGCGAGCTGGCTGCCATGTTTGCCTGCAAATAGTCACCAGACTTAACAGCAATTCCCTCTAAAGTGCTTTGAACCATTTCAATTTTCTGTATAAAAGCTACAGTGACTTGTTTTTAGTGTTTGTATCAAAAGCTTATTGTAACGGCTACAGTTAGGGGCACAACCTAAACGATGTGAGCAACACGAAAGAGCACTGACCCAACTTACACCCTATTTAGGCAGCAGGATTCTGGGACCTGATTGCCAAGTTGCTTCCCCTCCCCCAATAACTTGTACTTTTTACAGTCTGAAACGAGCTTATTGGCCTGTCATCCATGGCTGGTGTTGATAATCGCTATCTCCTTTGCCTGCACTGGTCTAATAGCCTCCTGACTTGCGTTGTTCACACTGCACTTTACAGCTGGGAAGTTCTGACTGCTGATAAGAACTTGCTGAAGCTGCCAGTATCATGAAATTTGGGTGTTGATTCATGTTCTCCACACACATGACATGGCCTTCGGAGTTGTTCACTCTAGGTCTGACAAAGATGCATGGACTACCCTTCAACCCAAAATGAAATATAATAATGATCCATGCATTTTATATTGTGCCTATAATTTCGTTCACAGTCAATCCACTTTATATTTCTTGAAGCACTTTCAGACGTTTCAACAACACGATAAGGCGCAAGATCATCCTATTATATCTCAAAGCACTTAAGAGTTTTCTGTAAAGTGTAGTGACTGTGTATTTGTAGTCAAACACGACAGCCAGTGTTTGCACAGCAGCCAGTATCCTGCAAATTGCTATGAATGACCGATTTTAGCTACAGGATTGTTCGCCAGGACACCTGGAGCAACTCTAATCTCTCTTAAAGGGTGTCATGGGTTCTTTAGTGGAATTTTATTTTTTTATAGAAGGGTAGAGTATTTGTTTTTGATGACTTAGGTCATAAACAGTTGGAAAGGTGGGTCAACTCATAAGGTAGGTTTTGGAGCTTGAGAGGGGCCAAGAGCACTGATTGTGGATTGGAAATGAAGCCATAGTAAGAATTATACAAACTTTTGGGAAAAGTGAAGAAAGTCAAGCTGTTGTAGTGAAGCCTCCTCCAGGCAAACTACAGATGGATCATAGAATCATAGAATTATACCACACAGAAGGAAGCCATTCAGCCCATCGTGACTGTGCCGGCTCTTTGAAAAGAGCTATTCAATCCTACTCCCTGTTATCCAATCGGCTTCCACCATCCTTTCAGGCAGTTCATTTCAGATCCGAACAACTCAGTGTGTAAAACATTTCTCCTCACCTCCCCTCTTTTAAGAACTATTTTAAATCGGTGTCCTCTGGTTTCTGACTCACCCGCTAGTGGAAATAGTTTCTCCTTGTTCACCCTATCGAATCCCCTCATAATCTCAAAAATTTCTATTAAGTCTCCTCTTAACCTTCTCTGTTCCAAGGATTTATTTATATGACCCCCCGGTCTCTCTGTTCCTTCCCCCCCTTTAAGATTGTACCATCAGCGTATATTGCCTCTCCTCATTCTTCCTCCCCAAATGCAAAAGCTTCACATTTCTCCACATTAAACTTCATCTGCCCCGTGTCTGCCCATTTTATCAGTCTGTCTGTGTCCTCTTGCAGTCTGTTACTATCCTCGTCACTGGTTACTACTTTTCCAGCTTAGTATCATCTGCAAACATGGAAATTGTCCTCCCTATACCCAAGTCCAGGTCATTTATATACATCAAAAACCTGTGGTCCCAATATCGACCCCTGAGGGACACCACTACACACTTCCCTCCAGTCAGAAAAACAACCGTTCACCACCACTCTCTGCTCTCTGTCTCCCAGTCAGTTCTGTATCCGCTGCCACTGTCCCTTTAATGCCGTGGGCTTCGATTTTGCTTACAAGTCTCTTATGTGGCACTTTATCAAACGCCTTTTGAAAATCCATATAAACTACATCAACTGCACTACCTTCATCCACCCTCTCGTTACTTCAACAAAAAACTCTGGTTTGTTAGACATGATTTGCCTTTAACAAATCCGTGTTGGCTGTCCTTTATTAACCCATATTTTTCTAAGTGAAAATTTATTTTGTCCCGGATTATAGTCTCTAGAAGTTTCCCCACTACTGGCATTGGGCTGACTGGCCGGTAGTTCCCGGGTTTATCCTTCTGCCCCTTTTTGTACAGGGAGTAACATTTGTAACCCTCCAGTCCTCTGGCACCACCCTGGTGTCCAAGGAGGATTGAAAGATTGTGGCCAGAGCCTTCGTTATTTCCACCCTTACTTCCCTCAGTAACCTAGGATGCATCCCGTCCTGACCTGTAGCTCAGTGGTTAGACACTCGCTTTGCAAGTGAGAGACCTGGGTTCAATTCCAGGCAGAGGGCGAAACCTTGGGCAAGTTTCCTTACTCCACACAGAGCCTAATAATAATCCCTCCAAAACAAAAACAATAATAAATTGGTCATTTTCAATCCACGACTGTTTGTGGGACATTGCTGTGCGCAATTGGCTGCCGCGTTCGCCTACAAATATACAGTCAATTCACTTTACAGTGTGTTCTGTGAAGCGCTTTGGGACGTCCTCCCGACGTGAAAAGCGCTATATCAAATGTAAGGATTATTATTATTAGGATGCATCCCGTCCGGACCGGGTGACTTATCTACCCTGAGCACCAACAACCTTTTTAGTACCTCCTCTCAGTTTATTCTTATCCAATTTCTCTCCCCTCTCCTCCGATACTGTGGCATTGGCTGCATCCTCTTCTTTTGTGAAGACAGATGCAAAGTATTCATTCAGTCCATCAGCCATGCCCTCTGCCTCATTTCCTCTTTGGTCCCTAATTGGACCTACAATACCTTTAACTAAACTTTTATTCTTTATATGCTTATAAAATACCTTAGGGTTCTTCCCTTTTATGTTACCCACTAATCTTTTCTCATACAATCTTTTTGCACCTCTTATTTCTTTTTGAGTTAAGATAGATTAGATCAATAGATTGTTGACGTTGGGAATTTGTTCAAATAAATGTATTGTTTTCTATGTTGTATGCAAACAGCGTCAGCACAGCCCATTTGGTAGCACTCTCGCCTCCAAGGCAGAATGTTGTGGTTT